GGAAACTGACGGTCTGGAGGACATCAACGTGGGTTAGCAAATCAGTGACTAGCATTCTCATTTATCTTTTTATTATATTATAAAATAATAGTTAAATATTATTTGGTGAACAAGAATAAGTAAAACTATTACTTTCTCTTATATCAAGTGATAAATTTATATTCTAAAATTAAATTTTTATTAGTATAAAATATTTTAGTGAGATAATATATTAATTATTTTACAAGCTAATCCTAACATTCTCATATTTAATGTTCTGGCTAAAAAAACAATGCTGGTTAAAAGATGTTTTTTAGACTTAACGTTGATTAAAAAGGGTAGAAAATAGATAATAATCTTATTACTTTTTAGACTTAAATGGACAAGGCTTAGATTTAAACGGACAAGGCTGTGAAAATAACTCATTTAATATTTCTTTCTCGATCGTACGAAATATGTACTAGTTTAAAGTTATGTAGTAAACAATACACCGGTATAAAAGTAAATAGTATTTTCCTATATAATTAATAAATATGCCGTGGCCCGTGGGCCATGAGAAGTGGGTACAATATTTCAAGTAAAAACAGTTGACTTTTTCCTTAATACTATTTTTCAAATGCTTTCATACGTTATTAATTTGTCCCATTGACCGCTAATTTTGCCCAATTTGTTATAAAAAACAACCTGTGTCTAGAAATTTCAAAGAAAAAAACATTTGGAATCTTTCTTTCACCACGATATAAATTAAGAGCCAGATCGCTCAACCCTTTCTGTCATCTGAAAGAATTAATTTCCACAAGACCCTTTAGCGCGGTGGCGACACGGTGGTGTACGGCGGTCATGGCATCTCAAACGCAGCGGCTAATGGTGTTGCTCCTCCTCTTCTTGGTGGTGTCCACCACTGCCGCCGTCCCTGTAACGAGTAAGCCTTTTATTTTTTATTTTTTTATTTTTAGTCTAAAGATGGTGTGTAATTAACTGTTTGTTTTGGCTAACTGCAGGGAGTCTTAAGGAAGTCAAGAACCGTATGTCTATTCCTAATCTCCGTTTTGAGGTACACTTTAATTATTTATTACCTAATTTGTACGCTTTATGCAAAATTGGTTCAAATTAAGATAGTCCTCATCTACATAGACTTGGCCAAAGACAGGGCCGGTTCACGGCCCGGCCTGTCGGGCCTCAAATGCTGGGCTCGTAACCAGCCCGACTATGTCTAAGGGCCCGTTAATTGAATGAACCGCTGGTTTAGAAAAAAAAAAAATTACAACTGTGACCCGTCGAAAAACTCGAGCTCCGCCCGGCGGGTCAAGTACAACATGACCCCATGACCAACCCGTGGTCATGTCTACATCTACACATCCTTTATTTTATTATTGTTGATTAATCATTAATTTTCTTGATTAATTAATTCTTTTTTAAATCTCGTGAAGGACGGTAAGGAGGAAGACAAGAATGGCGATTTACGGAAAGTGGAGGGGTTTTTGGGAAAAAGAATGAATGTGGAGCTTCATGATTATGGGACAATACCAAACTGCAAAAATCTGATCATAAAATGTCGTTAATTGCCTTGAATGATTTGATAATATTTATTTTTCAGTCCTCACCTGCCATTTGAGGCATAAAGGCAAGACAATTAATCATTAAATTAGTTGCCCATGTTCGCTTATGTTGTCATGTTCCTTTTTTTTTTTTTTTTTTTTTTTTTTTTTTTTTTTTGTTATCTTAATTTTCTCATGTTCTGAAGATTTTAGTTTAATTTTAGAGTATTTTTAATTTATGGGCTTGCAGTTTGTTAAGAGTGCATCATTTAGCTTTAATGGCATCTTAAGAAAGTAGAAATTTAAGATTGATGCGTGATTCGTTTTTGGGTCTCAACTTCTTGCCACTATTTGGGAAATATATGTCCAACGGTTTGGCTCTTGGAAAAATGTCGATGAAAATAAGGATTCTAAAAGAAAATATTAAGTATAATTTATATCTATATCTGTATATCAAAAATTTTATGGAGCCCCGGATGGTTTTATGGTTTTCTTATAGAGCCAACAGCCACTTAATGTATTGACACTTGTTCAAAGTGTATTTATTGTAAGACACATGTCAACACATTATTGGTGAATAAGTGTGGATGGCTCCATAAGTTGAGCCATCCCATGACTTCATAGCAAAACTGCTACATATACACATAATAAGAATAACAATTTATTAAAATAGTAGTAAAGAATTTTGGGAGTATTTAATGCATACTCTTTGTGGAAACTTTTAAATATATGATTAATTGTTTCGATATACACGTTTTCAAATGAGATCAAACCAGATATGATCGAAAATATTGTTTCCTTAAATAATTTTATTAATATCTGCTACAATTTCATTGATATCCATTATAATTAATTACAATATTGATTTTTCATGATTATGTTGATAATATTTTGATCAAGATAAATATCAGTACAACATATTTTACGTTCTAACCTTAATATTAATTTTTTTTTTTAGAAATATTCATTTTTTATCAAAAAAATCTATAGAAAAATGTAACAGCTTAGGTAGGTTTTTTTTTCTTCCAATTAATCAGGCGAAATCAAGTTGATGCATTAATTTGTCAAATATAATTTTTTCTTAAACTTTATTTCGTCGTATATAAAAAATAAATTATTCTTTAAAGTAATATAATTTAAAATTTAAGAGAGAATGACAACATACATTAAATTATTTTATTAATGATAAAAATTAAAGTTATATATTAAATGTTCTTAGAATTTTTTTGTATATTATGCAACCCATGATTATTTGTTAATCATATTTTTTATTTATTTTTATAATAAAATCCTTGTAAAATATTTTTTCATTGCAGAGCATGCTAAATAAATCATAAATCATTATAATGCGAAACAGAAAAATTTTGATTGTAAAAGGGATTGAGTTTTTGACGTTTTCTAAACAAAAGTTGTTTAATTAGTGTAAAAAATTAAATTCTAAAAAAATGTTTATATATTTGTAAAATATTTATACACTACTTAATTTTAAATTTATTTATATATTTTAAATTGATTACATAAATAAATAATACTAAAGTGTATTAAGTGTTTTTTATTATATAAATAAAAAGAAAAAGAAGCCATACAACTTCTATAATTTTTATAAATAATAATGACATTATACGATGACAAAATTTGTAACGTAATAATAATGAAGTATTATATAGTGAACACGAATAAGTAAAATTGTTATTTTCTCTTATATCAAGGAATAAATATATATACTAAATTCAAATTTATATTAGTATATATGTGTTAACGAGAGATGTTAATTATTTCACAAGCTAGCCCTAACATGCTCATATTTAATGTTTTGGCTAAAAAAATAATGTTGATTAAAAGATGTGAAAAATAGATTATAAGCCTATTTTTTTTAGACTTTCGACGATTAAAAGAGGTGAAAAATAGATGATAAACTGATTGATTTTTAGACTTAAACGGACAAGACATGTGAAAGTAACTCATTTTATATGTATGTCCCGTGCATCCCACAGGGTCTGTAACGCCCCGAATATTTTTATTATTTATGGAGCTCGACTTTAGTTCCTTAAATAGCAATTCTTAATTATTTCAACTTTTATTAAATATTTGATGCATTTAATTATTATTATTTGCATTCATTTGAGAAATAAGTTCTAAGTCTAAGCCATGCAGGATCCATTCGATTTTTAATTTCAAAATTTGAATTATTCTAGCCTAAGTATCGGTTTCAACTTTTAAATTTAAACCGAGCCTTAAAAAAATCGAGAAATATTTTGTATGGGTCGAAGCCCGATTGAACCGAGGCCCCGACCCAAGTAATGAGCAAGCTCGGCCAAAAGCCGAGCCAACTAATGCCTCAAGGCCCAACATTATATCCAAGCAAGCATTTTAGCTTATAAGGCCAAAGTCTCCTTTTAATTATTTTAGCCCAAGCATACTTTAATGCGGCTCAATCCTATTGTAATTATTTGGCCCAATTTTTTAATAGTCCCATTTATATTAATGAGGCCAAGTTATTTAGTCCATAAAGCCCAACATGTTTATTATGCCCAAGTCTTGAATTATTTGGCCCAAGTATTTTTATTTTCAAATTCAAGCTCAAGACAAATGACATTTAATGTCCCACCTAACAAGCCTCTTCTTAGGCGACAAAGACCAAGTCAAAGAGAAAAATTTTAAATTTATACAATCACCATGTCTCCAAACCCTAGCCCATGTGTGTTTATATATAAGAGCTCATCCTCATTTCTTCATTCTTCCCCATCTCATTTTTCCTATCTTCTTCATTTTCCAACTCCATAAAGAAATGCCTAAGTCTTAGAATACTATAGCAACACAAAATTTCTAACTTTTCCTAGCCATTCCAAGCTAAAATCGGCCCTAGCACCTCAAAGAATTGAGCCTCCGAGCCCAGCCGCTGCACCCTAGACCAGCCACGTCGTGCTCAGCCTCCAGGCGCGCCTTGCACGTCCATCTGCCTAGTGGTCTGCTCCCAGCACGCCCTTGCCGTCTTCCAAGTCCGCAATGTCCAGTCAGCATGCCCGCAGCAAGCCACAACAGCCTCTAGATTCGCGCACACACTTCTGCCAGCGCTCGTCTAGACGCACGCACGCTCCCGGCCTGCGCCTACCAGATTCGCGAGCCTCCAGTCCTAGCAACTTCAATTTTCATTTTCCAAGTCTTTTAAGAGGTAAATCTGAGAACTCTTCCTCTTATAACTAAGACAAAAATTATAGTTTATTTTAAAAAAGATAAATCATGAAAATGAAGAACGAATAGATCTAGATTTTATGAGTTTAAAGGCATGATTTTTAAATCTCGAGTTATATAAGTGATAAATTCATTATTACAACTCCATAAATCTTATCTTATTGTCTTGAGGATGATGTAAGATTTGGTAATTTTTGGAGTCCATTTGCTATATGAACCAAAATTGTAGATCTAGATCTATAATGCTTGATTTTAGTTGATTGAGTTAGAGGTTGACTCTTGCTGTTATATTTTAACCAAAAATCATGTATATGTTTAGGAGGCTGTGGTGAAAATTTAGTTATATTTGGAGATCGTTTGATATGGCTTAAAAATCGGGACTTTAGCTTGATTTGTGGTATTTTTAGAAATTGATTATGTCTGGATTTAGTTGAAATTGTTAGATCTAAAATCCTTAAAAAATCATGTTGAACTTAGGGTTAAAGTTTTGGCTTAAAATGAGTTAGGTTGCTCAGAGAACTAGAACCCTAGTTTCGCTCGTTTCTGAAAATCGAGTAATTTTTAGATCCGAGCATAATTGCCCGAACCTTAGTAGCATATAAATGACTTTAGACATCATGGGATTACTAATGAGTAATTGCATTTTCGGAGATATGGTCAGCCGGCCGACAAGTCGCCGGCAAGACTACAACCGAGCCTAAGAAGGCTACGGAGGCCGTGTGCCTCGTAGCAAGCATAGCCAACCAATCGGCATGCATTAGCACGCATCCATATGCGTATCGATGTCCTGCATGTGTCCCACTCGCGTCCTATTAATAGAGTCGAGCCATCGAGTGCGTGCTCGTGCATCGAGTCTGACTGAGTCGCGCCCTTGCGCCCTGCCCAACTCCCGTGCGTCCGTCCAACCTATCCGTCAACACGCCGTTTCCATTAGCCATGTTCTAAGCGCGCCCCTACGCCAGTGGTCGTGGCACCGTTTAAAGCCCATGCGTAGGTGAAGCCGTGTCAGCTGTGTTCGTGTGTGCCCGTGCGTTGCTACGCCGAACTTGGACCATGATTGAGCCGAACCGCACCTAGCCAACAAGCGACAGACCGGTTCTAAGCAAGCCGCCAGTCCAGTCCAGCTGAACCGGTCTGAGTAGTTTGGATGGTTTGAGAAGTTTTGAGTTCAGCCAAATCAGTCTGGGCAGTTCAGACGGTTTGGGAGTTTTTAGTTCGGAAAATCAGTTTGAGAGAGAACCAAGATTTAAGTATTTTTTCGAACCAAGTCAGATTTAGATCAAGCAAGATATTAGCTCCAATCTTAAAAGTATTTTCAAGAACTCTAGAAAGCCTCAAGATAGTAATTTTTCAAATTAGCTTGTAATTTTCTAAATTGAGATATAAATTATCTTTAAAACTAGTGAGCGAACCTAGAAAGATCAAAGTTTAAGATTCGAGTTTTTCAGTTTGAGCTAAGTACTTGGAATATATTTTGCTCAAATGTGGGGAGTTGAACCTCCGACAGTTTCAATCTATTCAGCACTTGCATTTCAGCATGTTTCTCTATAGCCAAATGTTTCGAACTCTAGAATCAAGGACTCTAGTACAACTCTGGGTTAAGCTCCAACTTTAGAAGTGCATAAGAGTTAAGTTTTTCCTTAGCATAATCAATGCTCTACAGGTTAGGTCCTACAGTTGGATTTCGCGAGCGTGAGGCAACATGTCCTTCTCGTTTGTTAAGCAGCAGTTATAGACAGTCAGTTACACAACAGTTATAGACAGCCAGTTGAGCAGCAATTATAAACAATCAGTTGAGCAACAATTATATACAGTCAGTTGAGCAAACAATT